AAAATCAGTGCTCCCAAATTATATAAATATAGATCAAACTGGTTTTTTACCCAAGCGTAATATAATAGAAAATATTGGGAGAACTCTAAATTTGGTCTCACACTGTGAGAGTAAAAAAAATAGAACTAAAACCACTGATCCCACTTACTTTATATGAAATGATGTGGAACCAAAAGATTCTGAAATCTTGTGCACAACAAAGTAATCCTTTTTTATATAATTCATTATAGATATGGTATAAATGGAAACCAAAATTGGCACCAGGAATTTCTGGGCAGTCTGCGTATATAAGACAAGAGTGGTTTATTCCAAGACAAAACTGGAAGGAATATATTACATGGCAGAAAGCAGGAATTGCTAAAATTGCTCAAGTTTTTAAACAATCAAGAAATAATAAAATCACAATTAGAACAAAAATAAAACATCCAATACATTGGTATAAATATTTACAACTAAAACATTTGCTGGTATCTCCTTTGCTGAGACAGACTAGATGTAGACCAATGACTCCTTTGGAACAAATACTAGATCAAATGACAAAACAAAAAGAAAGTATTATTTACTATCTTATATAGACAAATAGGAACATGGAAGAACCTGAAACATTATATCAAAAACAATGGAAAGCAGAGCTAGGTGTTTCATTAACAGAAGAAGATTGGACACAAATTTGGGAAGCAGAAAGTAGAAAATCTAAGATATTTTCCATAAAAACCCAAGCAGGGAAACTTCTAACCAGATGGTATATACCTCCAACAACTATGCATCACATTCATAAATCTTTCAATCCTCTCTGCAAAAAACAATGTGGAAATATAGCTGACTTTATTCACGGTTGGTGGTTCTGCCCATTAATTAAATTTTTTTGGCAAAACATTATCAAACAAATTAAAGGAGATTACAACTGTAAATTTACCTGTTGCTCCAGAGCTGTTTCTTTTGGACAAACGGCTGCAAACCTTGACTAGAAATAAAAATAGAGAATTAATAAAAAGCTTAATTGCACTAGCACATTTGTTAATAGCTTCCAGATGGATAGACACAAAACCTCCTACAATTGTTCAATGGTATAATTGTATATGGGAACATTTTATACTGCAAAAATTGTTATTTAATTTATCAAATTCATCACCAGAAAACTATAACCAAAAAATTGTTGCTGTTTGATACCGTTATCAGTTTTTTGTTAGAAAAAGAAATTATCCCAAGTAATCTGCATTACCAAAACTTGATCTATTTTTGAAATTTTTGTTCAGTTTATATTACTGTTGTAAAAGTGTTTGTTACTGATTGCATTATTATATATTTCATATTATATGTTGTAAAAATAAAAATTGTTAATGGGAAAAAAACTTGCCTCTCCCATGATAACGTTTGGTCCGTTATAATCCCAAGGCTTTTAACTGAGCCAGCTGAACGCCATCAAAATTAGGAAACACAGTATCCTTCGAGATTTCCACCTTCCCAGCCAGCATTACCTCTGTTTTTCCAGGGTATAGTCTTAGTTTGTTCACTCTTATTTACCACAGTAGCCAGGCAGTTATTCAGGACCCCTTCTGCATCATCAGGGGATTTAGATAAGGATATATAGAGCTGGTTATCACCTACATATTGATGACATCCAATCTCCAAGCTGTGAATGATTTGTCCTTTGGGCTTTATATAGAGATTGAAATACATGGGGCATAGGATTGCAACCTGTGGAACTCCACAGGATAGGTCCCACATTGATGACAGTTGGGTCTCCCACAGCAGCCATTTGAGTCTGATCTGTGAGGAATGATTTGAACCAGTTCAGCACGTATCCCCTGATGCCTACTTTTACCTCCAAGCCCCTCCAACAAGATGGTATGATCTACTGTAGCAAAGGCTGCAGATAAGTCCAACAAGAGTATGGCGATCTTGCCAGCCTTCCCTGCCTCACATGCAGGATTTTCCTTCCGTTTTTTCTTCTTTCCCTTTTTGACTGAGCACCCCTTTATCTATTTTCTTCTTATTTGAGGGTTTATGCCTGTCCCACCTATCCCACCTATCATGTTACTCTGTTTTGATGCTGGCTCCACCCAGGGACTTGAGGGAAGAGACAAGATCACCTCCTTAACTTGTACTTCTGAAAACAAGAGACTTTTGAAAGTTTAAAAAGAAACAAAATATTTTATGCAGTGTTGAGAGGAAAAGGTCAGGTGGAGTCAGGGATAAAATATCTGAGTTCAATCAAGAATAACTGTGAGGTAACTTAGTAGTTTCACAAACTTCAGTTAATATGTTTCCAGCAAGTAAGAGTTTTAAGTCTTAGTGAAAAGTACGTAAACAGAGAGTGATTTCAGCAAAGCGTACTTTATTCTATCCGGAACAAGACAACTTTGGCTGGCTCGCAGGCCGGCTTATATCCCCCGAGAAACCGCCACCCAAAACACACCCCTATTTCCCTATAGGTTATTTACAGTGGCCAAGAGTCCCATAGGCTCTCGGCCGGGAACCGAGCCCCCTGATTGGAGCGGGCTAGGATCCGCATAGTCCATTGTCTCTTGGAGCAAAGCTCGATGTTTGTCTCTGGACTTGTCTGGACTTGTCTGGACTGGATACATTACACTTAGAATCTTTGAGATGAGAGGCTTTGGTTTCAGTGCCTGCTAGACACTCCAGTATAAGTTCTTGAGTTTAACTGACTTTTCAGGTTTTAGAAGGCAGGGATATGCTACCAAGTACCCATGTTCCTTCTCTAAACAAATCAGGGATCACGTCACCCTTTAGAGCTATCTCCCCTTTCAACTGGGCAGGGAATTACTTCTCTAAACTAGAAGCTCTGTCTCTTTTTCTGGCCCAAATGGGGGTCTTCAGCAACCTTCCCAGTCAATGCTAAACTGAGTTCTCTTTCACAGTCAGTTCCCAACTATCCAATGAAATCCATTTGAGCAGCCTGTCACTCAAAGGCAGTAACCCTTCACAGTCTTTCACATGGTTATACAGCACTTGAGCTTTTAAAGCACAGTCTGTCACAAGTAGGCATGGCCAGTTTGGTGTAGTGGTTAAGTGCGCAGACTCTAAATCTGGGAGAACTGGGTTCGATTCCCCACTCCACTTGCAGCTGCTGGATGACCTTGGGCAAGCCATTGTTCTGTCAGAGCTGTTCTTGTAAGAGCAGCTCTCTCAGAGCTCTCTCAGCCCCACCTGGGTTGGTCTGCTACTGCACTCTCAATCACTTTGCTAAGAAAGGGCATGTTAGGGACATGGTGATAATTGGCCACATCATTCTTGAAGGCAGCTTCTTTCATAATTCCAGGAGGTGGATGGGAAGGGGCAGAGCAGGTGGGAACAGCTCTGTCTTTGATGGAAACAGTACCTGGACAGTCAGGCACTCTCTTCCTTCAATGTGTAGTGGGAAAGCTCATCTCTTAACCCATTATTACAAGTTTACTCAACAGTCTTTGTTGCAGTACTTTGCTTTGTGGATGTCCAATTATATAATATTCAGCATCTCACTCTTATGCACATGCTTGTCAGCAACAGTGTTCCCTCTAAGCTGAGTTAGTGTGAGCTAGCTTACAGTTTTTTTAGCCTCTGGCTCACACATTTTTGTCTTAGCTCAGGAGGGATGGTTCCAGAGCAAACTAATTTATGCAGTAGCCAAATTGCTCACTCACAACTTTAATGCCAGTAGCTCACAAAGTAGAATTTTTGCTCACAAGACTCCACAGGTTAGAGGGAGCATTGGTCAGCACTCAAGGAACTCGTAATGGCTGGTGAGGCAGGACTGCCCCATTGTCCCTGATTATTTGAAAAGCTGATCTGCAATTCATTTAAAATAAAAGTCTTCTTATTATGTGTTTAGGGGTCCCTCTAGCGGTATGTAGTGTGATTTAACACATGGATATATTCTGCTTTTGTTTATCTTGAACCAGGACTGGTTTGCCAACTAGCACACAAAGGATCTAGAACAGTTGCGTTCATTCTACGGCTCACAGAGAGCCACTGAAAGTGCTCTCCACCTCTCCACACAGAATATATTAATATTAAATCCATAACTTATAGCCTTTTTAATTACCAGAGTACCTCTGAAGATGCAGAGTGATCTCTCCCTCCCATAGTTAAATCTTAGCCAGCCCTCGTGTATCTGAAGTGAGGGAAGAGCTTTCAAGTCAGACTTGTGAAACAAAACAGTTTGCAAGCTTTTATGTTCTCCATAACTAGTTATGAGGCTGGATGTTAAAGTATAAATGCTTCATTATTTTAAAAACATCTTTCCAGTTGAAATCCAGTGTTTCAAGAAATTGGGTGGTTAGAACCAGCCAGCTGTAACCCCCTATGAGGCAATAGCCTTACCCACTTTCCAAAAGCGTGAACTAGGTGCTCAGAAGAATCACCTTTGGCTCCAGAACCACTGATCCAGAAGGTTGTGTTTTTTTAAAATACTCAAAACATTTACCAAGTATCTACTGTAGAAGACAGTAAAGTGTTTTGTTGCAGACACTTCTTTTTTGCAGCAGAGTTCTCAGTTGTATTGTTCAGCGGTTCTTTATCATTATTTCGACAGTAAGATTTATTGATCACACAAGCAAAAGGGTACATTTTACTTGGTTAAAAAAACAACCTGGAAGCAATGTTATATCATGGAAACATTGAAATATATAATCTGACAATATATAGTCTTGGTCATGTTCTCTTGTGTGTGACAGTAGTAGTGCTTTCTATCCTAAGAAAAGTTACACCCTTCTAAGTCCATCGAAGTTTTAAAGGGTTGCACTGTTAAGACTGCAGTCCTGAGAATGCTTTCCTGGGAGTACACCCCATGGAATAAAACAGGAAACTTTGTTGCTCCCACTCAATGTAATACTGTGCATAGTTATTCTGGTCTAAACCAATTTATTTCATTGGGTTTAGGCTGGAATAGCTGTGCTATAAGTTGAGCTCTTTACAGATAAGAATTAATCAGTTATAGACTAAATTTATGGATTGGTATGCCATTGCTGCTTTAACAGGTATTATGTATCCTTCCTTAGAAAGAAAATTACTCCATTAATGTATGCTGCCCGTGAAGGCCACTGTCAAGTTGTTGCTCTTCTTGCTGCTCATGGATCACAAGTAAATGCTCAGGATGAAAATGGTTACACTGTAAGACAGCTTTTTATATGTAATGACTTGAGGTTTCACTTGTTTTCAGAATTTTTCTGAAATGTGTCTGGCACCACTGTATACAGAAAGGAGATCCCTAGGTTTAAAGAAAAATCTAAAAATGTAAAAAGGGAAGGAGACTTTTAAAAAGTGTCTAAGCCTAAACTTATTTGGGAAAAAGCTAAGGTTTTGCGATACTACATCATGAGGTCAAAGCAGACGTTTTGAGAAGGGAGGAGTCAGGGCACTGGATGAGTGAGTGGGGGGGCAAGAAGGCAGAAAGAATAGTGGTAGGTAGGGAGGAAATGGGCAGGCAGAGTGGTGGGACTGGCAGTTGGACAGGCAGGTAGAGGGGTGGGGAATAGGGTTGCCAGGTCTCCTCATTGTGCCGGCAGGGGGATTTGGGAGGGGGTGTTCTGGGATGTCCCTGGCGCAATGACATCACCTGGAAGTGATCTCATCCACATCAGAGATGTCACACAACAATGATACATAAGAATACAAGAGAAGCCAATGTTAGATCAGGCCAGTGGTCCACCCAGTCCAACACTCTGTCACACATTGACCAAAAATACCAGGTGCCATCAGGAGGTCCACCAGTGGGGCCAGTTGCTCTGGTTTTGGGGTAAAACTGGCTTCAAATCATAGAGTTTTGCCCTCAAACCAACGTGTCGCCGTGCAATATCCCTGACATGATGGCATCACTTCTGGGTGATGTTGTGTTGGGGATGCACAGCGTGACGTTGTGTTGGGGTTGCACAGCAATGTAGCTGTTTGGGGGCAGGGTTTTCCCCAGCTGACTGGTGGTGGGCAGAAGCCCCGAAAACCAGGGGAACACCCTCCTCAGGGACCTGGAGACTGGCAACCCTAGGTGGGGAGGAGGCAAGCAACCAAGTGATTCCCCTCCCTATGAGTTTTTTCTTTGTTTATTTTATACATTTATTAATCGTCTTTGCACTTTACGGAACTTAACACAACTTTACAATATAAATAGAATAAAAATAATAAAAACCACAATTTAAGACTGCCCCCAAATCAATCAAACCGAATCCTGTATACTACTCAAACAGTTCCCCTCTTTCCTTTATCTTTTTCTTGGTTGAACAGCCTCTTTTCTTTCTTTCTCTGGTCCCACCCAGTTGTTTGAATGTATATATGGATATATGCTGACCCAGCCTAGGGAACTGAGGGACCGACTAAAATCCTTCTTTTGTCTTCGTCTGGTGATGGCGCATGAGAGGCTGATGGTAATTCAAAGCTAACAAACTGCTTCATGTCACTTTTGAGGGGAAATGATCAGATAGGTATCAGTTTTGGACTTAGAATGTGAACAGGCACAGGAATGAGATAACTTCGTATAAATTAACAGTAGATAGTTTGTCACGATCAAGTAGTTGTTTTGTTATATAGACAGGCCTTTAAAACTGTCCAGAGAGATCTTTTGGCAGTCTCTTCTTAAATAAACACGCATAAGCTTTCTCTCAAAAATATTTTGTGACGGCAGGAACATTCACACAAGTTCCAGTTTTTCTTCTTAATCATTTGATAGGGATCACCTTCCTTTACTAGGAGCTATTTCCCCCAGGGAATGGCTACTTGTCCCACTTCCCTCATTTAGGGTCCTCCTTGATCTTCTCACTCTGCTTAACTCTCCTTCACTGTTCTCACTCCATTCTCAAACTGTCATTCTTAATTGCCACTCTTAACTGAGACTGAACTGTAGAATTCCATCTGAATACCCTGTCACTCAAAGTTGTGAGACCAGGTTAAAGCATTAACCATTTACTGTCCGTTACAACTACTAAAAGACTAATCATTTGTTATAGGCACTAACATGGGCAGCACGCCAGGGACACAAAAATGTAGTCTTCAGACTGCTTGAACTTGGAGCTGATAAATCCATACAGACAAAAGATGGACAGACGCCGGGGGAGGTGGCAAAGAACAACAGGCATCCAGAGGTATTGTTCTGTGGGGATTGGCTTTAATTGCTTCTTTTTTCATAAATCTGTTAGGGTCAAAATACATTACACATTATATTAATTGAGTCATGGGTGCCCAACCTCTCGGTCACATATTTGTGCTGGGACTGAATTTTAGAAATCTCTCCATTGCTCTGCATGGCTCCAAACACTGAGAGGGGGAAAGAGAGTCTCTAGGCTTCCCTCCCATGCTGCTTTTGTCATCAGAAATGGCCGGGGAGGCTCTTTGCCCCTGCCCCAGGGTACTCATGGCCTGATGGACACATAGACCATATCATGACCCCAGCGGGTTGCCACCTTCTGCTGCCACCACCCTGGACTTAGGTCCCTTGAGAAGGCCCAGGGTACCTTCCCAAGCCCCTTCAAATTGCCCCTTTGTAGCTGAGAAACTTAAGCGTGATGACCAGGCAGAGAAACGATTTTTTTAAAAAGGGTTTATTATTACAGTACTGGTCAGGGGAAAAACAAGACAAGACAAGAAGCTTTAAAATACATAACAGTGTTGAAAAGCCAAAAGAAACACAAAGCTAACACAGCTACCTATTACTCCTTAACTGTTACTACTCAAGCCCTACAGCTCTCTTATGCCAGACTTCTACCTGTACTCACTGTCCCAGTGAGGGATCTTTCTCCCAGACTAGTCTCCTCAGCTTAGCTTTGTGAGAGGCAAAGACCGCAGAGAGGAAAAGAACACAGTTTAACCGACCACCAAGTATATAAACAATCTCCTCAGAGAATTCCTGGACCCCCCTTGGTTACAGCTGGCGCAAAGCCTTGTGGGGATTGTAGGCTGTCTGCTTCCCACTCCCAGGCAGGTCTCTTCGGCCTCACTAGGCCCAGTCCTGCACAGATCTCCAGAGGCCTACACAGATCATGACAGACCATGAGGCAGGTTATCACTGGTGCAAACTAGGAGGGAAGCCTGAAGTCCCTCCTTCTCCCTTCTTGGTGTTTAGAGCCATGTGGAGCAATTGAGGGTTTTTTATTGTTGGTTGAAGGTGTTTTATAGCTGGTTGAAGCAGAGCTGCCTGAAATTAAATCCATTGAAGATGGAGATCCTGTGTCTGAGCCACAGAGGGTTGAAATTAGGGATCCAGCTCCCAACCCTTGGCAGGGTGTTATTAAAGCCAACGCCAGTTGTGAGGAGCTTGGGCGTGATCTTGGATGCCTCACTTTCAGTGGAGGCCCAAGTCATGACCATTGCCAGAACAGCTTTTTACCATCTTCAGCTCTCCTCATGACCATCTTCTCTCTCCTCGTGACTTAGCCACAGTGATCCATGCAATAGTCATCTCCAGGCTGGATTACTGTAACTTGCCCTACACAGGGCTGCTCTTGGGTTTGATCAGAAAACCTCAACTGGTTCAAAATGCAGCGGTGCATGTCCTTACTGGGACACCTCTAAGAACACATATACAACCAGTGCTCTGCCATCTGCATTGGCTCCCAGTGGAGTACAGAATCAAGTTCAAGGTTGTAGTTTTAACCTTTAAAGCCCTGTGTAATCTGGGACCAACATATCTGCAGGACTATCTCTCCCAATATGTCTCCCGAAGAGCTCTGTGCTCATCAGACCCACAGCTGCTGGTGGTCCCCTGGCCCCAAGCATCAGCCGCTTAACCTCTGCCAGTGCCAAAAAGGTTCTGGCGTGGTGGAACACTCTCCCAAGTGAGATCAGGGCCCTGCGGTTGAGGCGGCAGGTGTCCAGTTATATTGGCCTCCCCTGCCTCACCCTGCTCTGGTTTGGTATATTATCTGGGCAGAGACTATTGGTGATGACTTGCCCACTGGTTCATCATGGGCACACCTTTGTGTAGATCTCGTAGGAGCATTGCACACCTGTGACTGATTACCATCTTGTATACTGTAATATTTATATTGTATTAGTTATTTATCTGTTTGTATAACTTGGCTTTAAGAATATTTTAATTCTTTTATCACCTGTGGTAGCTTGCCTTGAGAGCCCTCAGCTTAGAGGGAACACTGCACATGACATGTATTTTGACCTTTAGTATTCAGTTTTGGTGATTTAGAGGTCTTGCTGTGTAATGTAGAGCTTATATAAACTTAAAATTCAAAATGAAATGCAAGAGATTTGTGATCAGGTCTCCCTACATGTTTAATCGTCTATTAAAGCAGATGACGGTGAGAGTTTTGAATGGTGGTGTGGCAATGGGCCAGGGGAGTTATTTTGACTTCTCCCCCCAGAGTATATATTTGGGCAAAAAGACAGGTTTCTTTTATGGAAATATATTTGACACATGTTATTTGATGCTAAATGTAGAATGAGCCAGTTGATGGGCATGGGTATGCCAGCAAAAAAGGGCCTGAGAACCACTTCAGTGAAAGTGAATAAAGAATTTAAAAAATTAGTCTTGCCATTTATTTTGTACTTGTACCAAGGATGTTTCACAGAAATGAAATTATTGCCTTCCCTGACTTGAAGCTGCTTGCTGTATCATACTAAGCCTTCCTGAGTTAATGCTAGAAAATAATGAGGCTAATTCCGCACAAGGAGTTGCGCTGCCGTCGCACCTCCCTTTGCCCCGTTTCCATTGGTCAAGTTCCCACTCGAAGCCATGCGGCTGCATTTTGACCCACGGCTTCGCTCGATTTTCCCCACGGTTTCGTGATCCTCAAAAAACAGTGGAAAATTGACCAATGGAAACGGGGCAAAGGGAGGCGCAACGGCAGCACAGCTCCTTGTGCAAAATCAGCCCCTGAGTATCTAAATAGATAATGATTGAAAACTTGTTATGTCTTTTTAATTTGTTATCGAAAGAAAGAATTTATTGTAACAGCGATTAGCCAGCAATATAAAACGTAATTTGTTATCTGTATGTCTTCGACTTAGTCCAAATAGTTTTTATTTACCTCTTGTATTTTTTATTTTCCTTTAAAAAAAAAATTGAATTGAATGAAGTTGCCTTTTCGTATATTATGGTGCTTTTCTTTTTGCAGCATTATGAGAGACTTAAATAGCTGAGAAATGCAAGTGTCCATTGGCAGTATGCTATAAGGCTATATGATATGGCATCCTAAAAGTTAATCGATTCACAGTGCAATCCTAAACAGAGTTCTACCCTTCTAAGCCCATTGACATTTAGGATGGTACTGCTGATGCATAGTACTTTTGTGGGTTAGAACAAACTTCTGGTGCATGAAAAGCCATATGTATAAAGTATAGAGGAAGACATTGTAAACAGTGGAATCAAAAAAATGGAATAAAAGAGAGTAGTTTGGAATTTCTATATGAAGTTTGAATGTATACAGTAGAGATGGCCAGAATATCAATAATGTGTGACAGGTGGTCTGGCATAGAGTAGAAATCGTTGTTAAAATTCAGGGGGGCATTTTTTAAATGTTCAGAAGAACATTTAAAGGGAAAAGAATCTGTCTGAAAAACAGGCAGTTTTTTTCTTCTCTTTATTTTGTGTTGCTTACTGGATTGATTATTACTGCTTTTATTTCATTGTTCTCTTAATGCATAATCCAGTTTTATTGCATTGTTTATGGGATGTAGTGCTGGTCTTTTGTGCATTCTTTTAATTTTGTAATTTGCCATAATGCTCAGTGGGATAGGTGGAGATTAAATGAAGTAAATAAATAAATAAATAAATAAATAAACTGGTCTGTGGTGGTCTTCTCCCCTGCTTTAATTTAGCTTCATTAATGCTTTTTATTTTAAGTCATTCCATGGCAGTAGGAAAATTCATGTGATAACATCATTTCCGCTTCCCTATTGAATGCTACCATATGTCAGGCAAGACCATAGTGAAGACTGTCGTGCCCTTGTATTGGGTGTTCTGTGCATGGTCGTGTTCTGCTGGCAGTTTATACCTGCCTACCTACAACATTGAGAATAACCCCTTAGTTCACTCTTGTTAAGCTACATGCCTCTGCAAGTGTTGCTAGGCAGCTGCCTTGTATGTCTTGGTTAATGTGAGCAGATTTACCTTGGCCAAGCCCAGCCTGCTTGTTGCTGTAGTGATTGTTAAAATGCAGATGGACAGAGTTTGATAGCAGCAAAGGCAAGAGTGGACTGGAATAAAGTGTCCTTCAGCACTATAGTTAGGCAATCATTTCCTTCCTTCTGTAAGTGACTGACAGAGAATGTTTGTCACGTGAGCTGTGTACAACTTTCACAGCGTCCTCTTGTGTATGTACAAGAAAACAAGTATTCATGTATGTGAGAGGCCTGTGTGTTTTGTGTCTGTGTGTTCAGAAGAGGACAAGTGATAAAGAAGTGCTTGATTCTTCTGACTTGTAGGTATCTTTGTTTCTACTTAGGCAGGTCATTTGATCATATGGTTCACAGAATATAGAGGCAGTAGTGATTAACTGCACCTCCAGAGCCAGCAGTGGGTTCTACTTAAGAAAAAAGTAGGCTTCTGTATATGCAGCAATGGCAAAGCTAAACAGCTATGTAAATAGAACACTCATTAAAGAATTTCAGAAGAAATGGAAAGCCTATTATTCATATTTTATGTCATAATCAGGGAGAAATGATATAATTTACTGAAAAATAATAAAAAGCCCAGTAGCACCTTTAAGACTAACTTGTAGCATAAGCTTTCGAGAAACACAGCACTCTTCATCAGATGCATCTGATGAAGAGAGCTGTGTTTCTCGAAAGCTCATGCTACAATAAAGTTTGTTAATCTTAAAGGTGCTATTGAGCTTTTTACTGTTTTGCAGCAACAGACTAACACGGCTGACTCCTTTTGGTCTGTAATTTATTGAAGACATTATGTATAAATTAATACTCTGGAACAGAGGTGTCAAACTCATTTGTTACAAGGGCCAGATCTGACATAAATGTCACTTTGTCGGACTGGGCTGTGTGTGCCATAAAATGTAACACAAGGTACTGGAGATATAAACTTTATGAAGATGATTTCAGATGCCATATGGAAATAGCAGGCGTGATTGGATTAGGTGTGATATGCAGAGGGGTAGTAGGCGTGGAGTTATCAGCACTGGTAATGAGACAGGAAACCTAGGTCTCAATTTAGTACAGGAGGATTCACTCCAGGAAGATGTAAAGAATAAATGGAAAAATTAGCTTAAAAGTTTCTGTAAAAATTCGCGAATACTAAAAAGGAGCTGGCGTCGGGTGTAAGGTACCCCCCACCCCAGTACATCTCACACCATTCCCGGATCCATGTCCAGACCCCTATCCGAGATTCGATATCCCAAAAAGTCAATGTGTGTCTTATGAAACTCGCATTTAGACAGTTTTGCAAACAGTTTGTGCTTGTGCAACGTGGCTAACACCTCTCTCACCAATTTCACGTGGGAGGGGAGGTCGGGGGAGTAAAGCAAGATGTCATCTAGGTAAACAAGGCCCCCCTTGAACAAATGCTTGTGCAACACGTTGATCAAATTCATGAAGACCCCTGGAGCCCCCTGAAGTCCAAACGACATCACCCGATATTCAAATTGCCCGAGAGGGGTATTGGAACGCTGTCTTATGTTCGTCCCCCTCTCTGATGCGCACACGAAAGTACGCATCCCGAAGATCCAGCTTAGAAAAAATTCTCCCTTTGGCTGCTTCCGCTAATAAGTCTTTGATCAATGGTGAGGGGAGTAAACAGGAAAGGGAATGGAATCAGTAGTGAAGTGGCCAGAGACAGGCTGGTCTTTAAACACAGTTTGTTTTCCTTCTGCTATCAGACTCTGACCTGTAGTTTCTGCCAAAGTTTTCTTGCCTAACCACTTGCAGAAAATGGGACTATGACACTTGGTTCTACCCACACCACAACCCAAGGAAAATACAAACAAGCTCTTCAAGCCAGAATTTAAACTATTGTTTAAAATGTTGCCAGAATTCATGCTGGGATTTTAATATTGTTATATTCATCACTTTGTGTCCTTCCTCCCCACCTCCCATTTCCATGACAGTTGATGTCAGAGATGAGTTCCAGTTTGTGTATCAGTTTTATTTTTAAGCCAGTATCAGGAAAATTAACATTGGGTCAAGTTTATGTCTTCTAATGTCCTGTGCTGGGGGAAAATGATTTTAAAAAGTGAAATATAGATTTGTATATAGCAACTTCTAATGTAATATATGTTTATAACAAGACTTTCTTTTGAAATTATCCTTCGAAATCACAGCGTGCTCTGCTGGGATGCCAAGTCTATGCAAGAATGCAGGAAGCCCCAATGCAGAATGGGTTCTCCTCACTATAGAACCTATTCATCTGTCAGTCAGTGCCAGACAAAGAGGTGGTTGTGTTGTGATATATGATCAAGTCTGGGGATCTGAGCAATTTACCTCAGTACCAGCAGATTAAAAAATTTAAGTCAACAGATATTTTTTGAGTCCAGATTTCCACTGATTTAATGATAGAGAATCTATATTTAAATCTGCAACGGCAAGCTAATTTGATATTTTTCAAAGTATATTTTCTACAAATGTCTACTTTGATCCTATGGGTATTTACTTAGAAGTCTTCATACAGTTCCTTCAAGCTGCATTTTTGTGAACACTTACAATGGAGTAAACCTCACTGAATAAAATGGGATATACTCCTGAGTAAACATGAATAGGATTGAGTTAGTCTGATTTTGTGCCATTTATTCCACAGTAATGTGCTACTATAAAAACACAGATACAAAATGTTTACAACTGTCTGGAGGAAAAAAATGCCTTGTCCCTTTAACAGAGGCTTAATGGGATGTTATTTACCAAGTGGTGTTATTTACCTCCATGCCATTCCCACACATTAAGCCTCTAATAAAGGGACAGGACATTTTTCACCAGCCCTGTGAGGACAATGCAACTATTTCAATTGAACATGCTGAAGCATTAGTGCTTGACCTGAAGGAATTGGTGACAAAATTTGCTAAACAAAAGGCACGCAAAATGAGATTCTGATGTGCCTGAAATGGAAACATGAAAGAGAATTAAATTTCAACATCACAATTAACAGGATTTTTGAAAATGCTTTGTGATTTGTTTTTCTGTTTGAGAGAGAAAATCAGAGATTGTATTTATTTTTTTATTTACACTTATATCCCACCCTCCCCGCCATTCGGCAGGCTCAGGGTGGCTAACAACATAATAAATAAACATTAACATTCCAGTTAAAGCTATTAGTCAATATAAATCATGCAATTTAAACATAACTTACATTAAAAGATGGTGATCTTCTCACATCAACTGTCAGCTGAATGGTGTCATCAGGCTCCTGCCCAGCTATAAAACCCCAGTTGGTGGGGCCATTGGTACTGTTGGTACAGTTGGTAATTGGACCAGGGCCATAAAGTCTTAATTCTGCACCCTACTTAAAAGCCTGGTGGAAGAGCTCTGTTTTACAGGACCTGCGGATTGTATTACTTGTTCTCACAATTAAAAAAAGAAATTAGCAATTTCAAATTTTGTGTTTTTCATTCTTCCTAAAATGCATTTATGTTTGAAAATTGGTGGGCGTACGGGGGGGGCAACCTCGCCTAGTGTGCAAAAAAACTTGGCACCAGCCCTGTTTCTATTTCATCATTAATGCTGATATCTCCACACCTACTTCTCCTCTGCATATCATACCTAATGCAATCATACCTGCTACTGCCATTAGGCATCTGAAATCGTCTTTATAAAGTTTATATCTCTGGTACTTCTCGTTACATTTTATAGCACGAATGGCCCGGCCCAACAAAGTCACATTTATGTCAGATCCGGTCCTCATAATATATGAGTAGGGGTGTGCAAAAAAAATATTTTTTTTGGCCCAATTCGGATTCGGCCGAATCGGGCAGAATCAATTTTGGCCAGCAGAAAGACTCCTGCATGTCAATTTTGACAGTACAAGCAAATTCAGGAGACTTTCGGCCAGCCAAATGTCAATTTCGTCTCCATTATATCCTATTGGCCATTGAAGTCAATGGCAAAAACATAGGGTATATTCTGGGGGCTGGAGGGGGAGGAATTTGAGGGAGAGGCTCCAAACTCGCAGGGTAGCTGCTGGAGCCTCTCCCCAAGATACCCACCAAGGTTCAAGAACATTGGACCAGGGGGTCCAATTCTACGGGCCCCAAAACAGGCTGCCCCCATCACCTCCATTATTCTCTATGGTGGGAACAAAAGTTACTTTTTTCCCACCTTAGAGAACAATGGAGGGGATGGGGGCAGCCTGTTTTGGGGCCCGTAGAATTGGACCCCCTGGTCCAATGTTCTTGAACCTTGGTGGGTATCTTGGGGAGAGGCTCCAGCAGCTACCCTGCGAGATTGAACCTCAAACCCCCCTCCACTCCAGCCCCCAGAATACATCCTGTGTTTTTGCCATTGACTTCAATGGCCCATAGGATATAATGGGGCCGAATTGCCACCGAATTTTGGCAGCAATTTGGCGGCAAGCCGATTCAGATCAGAGAATCTGAATCGGCCTGCAGCAGCCCGAAAGGGGCCAGTTCGATACCTCTGGTTTAAAGACCATGTAAAGAACAGATTTGCATTATTAAGTGCAACTAAACATGAATCAGAAGACCTGTGGGTTGCCCTGATCTGGATAGCCCAGACAATCCTGATCTTGGAAGCAAAGCAGGGTGGACTCTGGCAAGTACTTGGAAGGGCGACCTCCAAAGAATACCAGAGGTGGAATGCAGAGGCAGGCTAATCAAGCCACCTCTCTGAAAAAGTCGGAGTCCTCAGTAGGCATTGCCAGAAGTCAACCATGACTTCCAGGCAAGCATGCCCGTTCATGCGCACACACAAATCTATATTTTAAAAAAGGAAAAAAGGAAAAAAGAACTCAAAGAAGAAAGCACAAAGATGATTCTTGTAGCCAAAAGAAAAGAAAAACCTTGATGGATGACTGATGAATCTCTTGAAATTGCTAAAGATAGACCAGAAGCAAAAGAGGTGACAAAAGCCAAAATGCAACTTTCCAGTGGCTAACATGTGAAGATAAAGAGAACTATTATAATAACCAGCGTAAAAAAATAGAAGAGAACAACAAAAAAGGAAGAACAAGAGATCTGTTCCATAAAATCCAAGAAATCAAAGGGAAATTTAAAGATCAACATGGAAATACATTAAATGAACCAGACAAAATAACGATGGGAACAATACACTGAAGAACTGTACAAAAGAGATAAAAGGGTGACAGATTCCTTCGAGGAAGGAACTTTTGAAGAAGAACCTACAGTTTTAGAAAGTGGAATGAAACCAATAGAAGGAAGTGATGTTAGAGCAACTGGGAGAAACAAATCAGCAGAAGTAGATGGGATATCAATAGAGCTATTTCAAGCCATCAAAATCTTAAAAATATGCAAACAGATATAGTATATAAAGCATTGGTCCACAGACTTCCAATTCTGAAAAATGGATGCCAAAGACTGCAGTAACTATCAGACCATTGCATTAATTTCTCACATGATTAAAAGTGAATCTCAAAATCTTATAACAAAGACTGTTTCCATATATGAAACAAAAAATGCCAGCTGTTCAAGCTGGATTCAAAGATGCACTAGGGATCATATTGCAAATTTACATTCGTTACCGAAACATAAAAGAGAATTTCAGAAGAAAATCGACTTGTGTTTCTCGATTATTGCAATATGTGTGGATCAATGAAAAGCTATGGTTGGTTAAAAGAAATGGATGTGCCACAACATCTGATTGTTTTGATGCGCAACCTGTACTCTGGCTACTGTTAGAATAGACTATGGAGAAACCGAATGGTTTCCAATTGGTCTCCAAGCTAAAGAGCCCCAAGCGCTTTAACCTTTCTTCATAGGGAAAGTGTTCCAACCCTTATATCAACTATAGGACACTTTGGAGGACATTAATTCATAGCGACTTGATGGCACTTAAGCTTAGGATAAATTGTTCTTTCTGAGTTAGCAGAGGACTAATACTAGTTACAGTGAAGTATGAGTGTATTGTAAATATCAAAAGCATTCTGCCATGTTTAATATTAACACTGTTTATTATCCTTTTAGCTCTTCAGTTTGCTGTCTTTGACTGCACATCCTTTCCAGGGAAGATTCCAGAATTTGTCTAAAGAAGAGGCTATTTGCAGACTTCTGCAAGCAGAACCTCAGACAGCCAGAAGTCATACAGCCAGGTAGTAACTCATTTAATTGTACAAAAGTTTGCATGATGAATGTTTGGTTCATTTTTCTGTTAACCTTTGTTCAATCCCTCTCTTTAATTCCTAACTTTAAAAAGGCATTGAAATTCAGTTGTTGAATTGCTTTTACTTGTGGCATGCAGTATTCATCACATGCGGCTACGATTCACTTTTGTCTCTTGGTAGTGATGGACACTGACTGGTGTGTGTGTGTGTGTGTGTGTGTGTGTGTGTGTGTGTGTGTGTTAAACCTTCAGAGTTCATAGGGGAAGAGAGATCTTCCATCCCGGTTTGAGAGACAACTGTGATTATTTCCCTAAGGCCGGAGCTAGTTGCAATAGTAGTCATGGGGCTGCCTTTCAGTTGCAAGTCTGATAACCATCTCATTTAGTTCTGGTCTGAGGTTCTAACGTGCGTGCCTGAATCCTAAGGCATTTGCAACTGATGTATAGTAAAGGTCATAGTTCAGTCTGTTTCCTAGTGTATTTGGTGGACCTGTTTCCAGAGCCGTTTCTGCAGATGCAACTCTTAGCTGTCAATCACATGATAACTTTGCCATATGATCTGGAAAACCTTTCAAGCATGTTGGGTGTAGATAAGAAAAGTTTTTAGTATTCTGCACCTTTTTGTTCTTCTGTTTGTCTATTTATTGGGCAACTTTTCTGATTCCGAATTTCAGTTCTCAGAAAATTTCTGTTGTTCAGGCTATTTTTAACTTAAACAGTTATTTCCCTCTGCTGTTACTGGCTGTAATAATGTATGGCACTTTGCAGAGTACAGGAAAACTGATCCCTTCCCTGAGGAAAATTTCTTAGGGGAGCCGCAAAGGAGAGTGGTGGGAGTGAGAGTAGACTTTGTAAGAAGATGCTTTCACTGAAGGTTTGCAATGTGTATTTAAATTAACTTCAGTAGTCAGTGAAAAACCAGAGAGTTAACAAGCCTAAATCTTCACTGACATCCCAAATTAATACATATAATAAAGTAGAACTCCCATTTCTGTTTGAGGTGTTAGTACATCAGAACTTGTCACTCTTGAAACTAATAATAGTTGTATCAAAAGAAGCATATTGAAGGTGAGAGGAGTGCGCATGCTCTAAGAGATAAGAAGCTTTTGCCTTCTCCCTCCGTGGACAGAAAGATAAACGACCCAAAAGGAATGTAAATAGCTTTCTAAAGTGCTGTGAAACAAACCGGACAGTGACTAAAGAACCAGAGAACAGAGTGGTTTGAAAACTTCCCAGCTAAGTACGATAAGAAAGCTGCTAGTTTAATTTCAAGAAAAGAAGGACCCACCTCTCGACATGGCAACTACAGTCAAAGATCTTTCGGAGCAATTAGCTCAATTTCAAAGCCTAATGATTGACTCCCAGGAGAAGATAAAATCAGCAATTGACGAAGTTAAACAAGAGGTCAGTTTAATGAGTTTAGAAATAAAAAAATTAAACAGCTCGCATTTCAGGCTGATAAGACGGCAAAGGAAAACAGAGACGAAATCAACCAATTAAAGAAGCAAGCAGTAGAATTGTCAGACAGAAGCAGGAGGGCGAACCTAATTGTACACGGCATTTCAGAAGACATTGGCTCAAAACAACTAGAAAAATGCATAACAGACTGGGTATGTGAGCAAGGAATAAAACTAAACGAAGATCAAGTAGAGCGTGCACATAGGCTGCAGGGCAGAAGAAGAGGAGTTGAACCACGCCCGGTAATAATTAAGTTTGCTAGGGAGAAACTACAACACCAAATATTTCTTGCCTTGAAGAAGAAGAAAGAGTTGAAATACAAGGAAAAGAGAGTTTTCATAAGGCAAGATTTCTGCCAAGAAACTTTAAAAAGAAAAAATCAAATGAAACCATATGCTGAGAAGCTTTTCCAGAATAAGATACAGTTTACCTGGGCTTACCCAGCGTCTATAGTGATATTCAGAGAAGGAAAAAGGCTAATTGCAAAGAACCCAGAAGAAGCTGTGAAACTACTAGAGAGACTGGGAATTGACCCAGGGCCAGCAGAGTCTCAGGCGGAGATGGAGGAGATCCCAGCGCTGGAGGAAGAGGATGCAGAGGAAGCTCCCACACACCAGGAAAAACGACCAAGAACGCTTACTTAAATCCAGGAAAAGGGAAGTATAAATGGGTCAAATGTTAAAATAAAATGATATAATTACAAATAAAGGAGGGGGGATGCGCACACCCCAAGGTATAGGGAAGGGGATGAGTTATCCTCCCCAGCGACAAGCCCTATACCAGGGATAGGAGGGAGGGGGGAGGACTAGATGGATGGGGGAGGCGGGGGAGTAGGGAGGAAACAATAATAAAAGTTAAAGATCAGCCAGGAACAAAGGGAACTTTTAAATTAAAAGAATACGGGTAAAATTCTGAAGATGCTGACACTGAACGTCAATGGCCTAAGCTCTGACATTAAAAGGTAAAGAGTCATTAGATTTGCAAAGCAACAAGGTACAGCTATTATGTGTTTACAAGAAACACACAAAGCAAAAAAGGATAATAAACCATTGCTTAAAGACCCAGAATGGGAAGTATTAGCTGAAGCAAGAAGCACAGCTAAGGCGAGAGGGCTGGCAATTTTGGTACGTAAAAGGAACGATATTAAATTAATAGAAGTGTTAAGAGATGGAGAAGGAACCTTCTGGCTAAATGTATATTCCAAAATAGGAAAATAACACTGATAAATATCTATGCCCCAAATAAGGGACAGAAAATTTTCTTGATAAAAGTATTTTAAAAGGATGCAGGGATTCATTGAGGGGGAATCGATCATGGCAGGAGACTTCAATTTTGACGTCTCTAAAGATAAGATAATCAGGTGGAAAAAATGGGACTTAATAGAAGCACATGAAGCCTTAAGACTAAATCCCGAGCTAACGCATCTCTCCAGTAGACACAAAACTGCTTCATATTTGGATTTTATAATTTTCAAAAGAGCAAACAACTGGGAATTGAAAAGTATAACAACCCGATATGGATTTCAGACCATGCCCCGATAACCATTGAAATAGATATAAAATGGGAACACACTAAAAGACTATGGAGATACAATAACATACTTATGACTAAGGAAAAAGATAAACAATTCATTGAAAGTCAGCTAAAATTATATTTCCAAGAAAATAGAGGAACAGTGGCCACAAATATCCTCTGGGATGCTGCCAAAGCAGTTATTAGGGGACAATGTATAATGAAATAAAAAGAAATAAAAAAAGAATGGTTTTCTAATAGGGAAAAAAAATCCAAGAATTGGAAGTGTTACAAAGAAACCAAGTAAAGAAATTCTGTCAAAATAGACAGAACACAATTTAAGAACTTAAGAGGCAATTAGACTTTATTGATTCTAGGGTGCTTTGGAAGAAACAAATTATGGTAAGGAACGAATTTCAGAGGACGACTATAAACTCAAGTAGGAAACTTGCAAATTATCTGAAGGGTAGAAAAGACAAGCAAAAGGTGAAAAATATTAGAACAAATGCAAAAACAATACAAAACCCAAAAGAGATTAGAGAAGCATTTCAAGACTTTTATAAAACTTTATATGGAAAAAAAACCGTAGCTGAATTCGAGGAACAAATAGGGTCAAGATTAAAAGATTTGGACAAGGAAAGTCTAGAGGAAGAAATTACACTTCAAGAAATAGATGAGGTAATAAAGGGATTAAAAACTGGGAAGTCTCCGGGGCTGGATGGCTTCACAGCAGAATTTTATAAGGAAATGAAAGAAATACTAATTCTGGAGCTACAGACGGTCTTTAATGCTATCATGAAAGGAGGAAAGGCCCCTGATACTTGGAGATTAGCTGAAATAACCCTAATATTGAAACCCCAGAAAGACCCTCAAGAGGTGGGTTCATATAGGCCTATAAGTCTTTTAAATCAGGATTACAAAATATTTGCTAAAATAATGGCAAATAGACTCAAGAATGTAATCCTTCACATAATAAAAGAAGACGTATGGGTTTGTGAAGGGTAGAAGTATAGCACATCCTATAAGAAATATATTAAATGTACTATGTCATAGGCAGACTAAGAAAATAGCATTACTAAAACTGGATATATATAAAGCATTTGATACATTGTCGCATGAATTTTTGTGGTCCATAGTCGAAATATGGGATAGGCCAAGCATATATTAAAACAATCCAGGAAATTTATAGAGAAGGAAAAGTGGTAGTTAGAGTAAATAATGAACATACTGGGCAGTTCCCAATCCTAAAAGGAGTAAGACAAGGATGCCCACTTTCCCCAGCTTTATTTATAATGGCAATGGAACAATTGGCCGAAAGAATTAGAAATTCAGGAAGAATAGAAGGAGATAAGATAGGTAAAGAGGAGATGAAATTAAACCTATTTGCAGATGATATAATTATAATTATGACTAATCCTAAAGAGGGAATTAAAGAAATGAAAGTTATATTAGAAGATTTTGAAGCGTCATCAGGATTAAGAATTAACATAGGAAAATCAGAGATAATGTATTATAATGTGAATTTGGAGGAAAGGAAAGAAATTAATAAATTAACTAAAATAAGAATGGGAGCCAAAAAATTTAAATACTTGGGAATAGAAATTTATAAGAACATAAATAAGATAGTGGAAAAAAACTATAAAAAAGTATGGCAGAAGATAACGAGAGAAATGAAGGGGTGGAAGAGGAAAACTCTGAATATAACAGCTAGAATTAAAAGTGTTAAGTTGTTTTGGATACCAAGATTGTTATATTTATTTCAAACAATACCATTAACAATTAATAAACAAAATATGGAAATCTGGAACACCAAAATAAGAGAATGGATTTTTGGAAGCAAAAAATATAGAATAGCAAAAAAGTTGGTATATAACCACAGTTCAGAGTTAGGATGGGGAGTACCAGATATAACAAGTTATTATGAAGCCTTTCAGCTAAAAGCATTACTAGAAATAGAAGAAGGAAGAAATCAGAAATGGATCAGATTTGAAAATGAAGCAAATAAGGGAGTAGGAAGATTTGGTATTTTCACTAGCAAACAGGTTAAAGATCCCAAGATGAAGATGGGGCCTAGGGAAAGCACCTTAGCAGTTTGGAGGAAGTGGCAAACAAAATGGTTAACACAAATGTCCAAATGGGCACCACTGGAAGCGCTAGAAGAGGAAGGTGCAGACTACAGATGGTGGGAACTACTTAAACAAAAAGGGTATAGTAGAATACAGGATATGCTTATTGCAAACACTTTAAAACCACTACGAGTCATAGGAGAGGAAGTAGGTGCAAAATATTGGTTAAAGGTAGCAGGCCTATATACAAAGATAAAAATAATAATTGAAAATAGCAATATGGATATAGAAGAACCGATAGAAGAAATATATAAATTAATGAGGGAAACTAAAAGAGGAATAGTGGGAGTAATATATAAGAAAATGGTCTCAGATAAAGAGGGAATAATAGGCCATCTTCAAGGGAAATGGAGTAAAGAAACCCAAATAATGGAGCAGAGAGCAAAAAAGTTAATGGAAGGAATTAAGAGAATAAAAATACATAAATTTAGGGAAATGGAAGTAAAATTCTATACGAAATGGTACAGAACTCCAGCCACCCTAGCAAATATGTTTCCAGGGTTAAGCTCAAATTGTTGGCACTGTAAAAGTGCAAAAGGATGGTACTCCCACATGTGGTGGGAATGCCCCGAGGTTAAAAAACTATGGAATAATATACTGAAAGTAATAAATGAGCTTTTTAAGGTTAAGTTAAATATAGATTTTGAGCTAATGACGATAAGTACTCTAGGTAATGAGAAAATAGGGAAAAATAAGAATTATTGAGAGCAATAATATTAGCTGGGAAAGCAGTAATAGCACTAGGGTGGAAAGACAAAAGTAAATGGACGGAAAGAGCTTGGCATAATTATCTGTTTGACTTTGTCCAGTCAGATATAACGGCTACAATGACACAGGACCTACCTTGGGAAGATAAAACAACAAGGATCAAGAAAAAATGGTCGCTTTATCTAAACTGGATTAAAGAAGAAAATAATGAAGACGTTCAGTGGAAGCTACAAGCCTTGTGTTCCTGGCTGGAAGGGAATAGGGAGAAAATGTTAAAACCACCTAAAAGGATTAATGAATGTACAAAGTAAATAACAAATAAAAATATTTAAATAAATAAAAAAGAAGCATATTGAAACTGACCTAAAAGAATGTGCTGAAGATACCCTTTAATGTCACCAGTTATTGTATGTAACCAAATGCTATACAAGTTGGCATCTAATGACACTTGTATTTTCTGAATGGTGCCCTGCATGTTGCCTCCCTCATTGTGGAAAGTAGCATTGGAATCAGGGGGAGTTCATACATGGAAGCTGAAGAGCAGAGATAGGTTTTTAAAAACTTCTGGAATCTGTCACTTACTCAGATTCATAATCTGTCTTTGAAAGGCATTAAAAAGGTCTGGATGAAGAGTTTTTCATGTTGCTCTTGAACACTTGGTTTCATAAACTGTGAGGCACACTTTACTTAAAAAAATAATGTGTAGGGTCCAGGCACTGAGAATTGGGAAGGGCGGGAACACAGAAGGGTCCTTACTTTAGTCCAGCAGCCCCTGTGCTGTTTAGAAGATCAGGGGCCCATTCCGTATTCAGTCTTCTGCTCTGGTGTGGCATGGCCAAAACAAACTCACATCTCTTTTTTCAGTTGCTTTTCCTAGCCTTCTGCCTCCCAAGGTTTCGTCTCCTGCTTTCTGTCACGACCCACAGCCAAACAACGGAGCACACACTTCCAAGAAAGGTTTTGCTTTATTGTCAGTACTATGGTTGCAGTAACATGGTCACTGTTAGGAAGGACTAGCCAGGAACAAGCATACAATAATATAGCAGATTCAAAAGGGCCCCCCCTCACCTGTGGGCCAATTGCCCTTGCTCCCGCAGGCGGGAAAAAGTAACCGACCCTCGGTTGAGAAACGAAACTAGTCTCATGGTTAATTATAGCGGAGACACTACATAGGCAGGAGTACAAGGTCAGAAATAACCAGGGAAGCAGCGAGAGGAAAGGAATGTGGCACCAACTCATACACAGGTCAGGCAGGCAAACCCTAGGCCTATAAACCATATGGCAGCATAGCTGACACTTTCTTTTCCTTCCCCAGCCTTTCTCCCTCTCAACATGACCAATTGGTCCACCAGCCATAGCATGCCAGGGTGGGAGGTTCTTTCCTTGTCATGACCAGCTGGGCACAGGCCTCGTATCAAGATGTTGAGGAGATGGAGGGTCCATAACTGCCTATCACCAAAGGCTGTATCAGAAGAAACATGCCCAACTGTTATTGGCTGTTCTGCTTGACACCATGTTTAGAAATAACAGTCCTAAATAAAATTATTAGATTTTGTTTAAATACATATTCTAAATTATTTTTATTTGTAGTAAAATATTTGTGTATATGTGTACAGTTCCTACATGGCCTTCGGTGACCTGGAAATTTTTCTACATAGCCTTGAACTGGAACATTTATCAGAGGTACTAAAGGTAAGATTATTTTTTCAGTGACAGGGAAATATGTAGGGGAAAACATTTTAGTGCATGTACTAGCTTCAAATATCACTGTTAAGATTTAAGGTTCCAGTAGTATTTTAATAACAACAGCAGTGCATTGCTAAGTCCACTGACTTAGGGTTGCACTGTAAATGTTCAAGCTGTTTTTGAGGACATAAAGTTAATGTTTCTGAATGAACCCCCAAATAATTTTTTTTCATCCAGGAGACAGAGACAACTTTAAGGCAGCTTTTGACCATGGGAAAAGAAGATTTGATGCAGGTTAGCTTAATGCAGCCATTTGTAATGTTCATATAATTTTATAGTTATTTGAACTGATGAAAATATTTACTTGAACTGATGTAGAGTAGAATGTGACAGTTAAATTCCTGTGATGGAGTTCTGTTTTAGGCATCCGCAGTTTCAAAATGGATTCCCCCAAGGAGTAAGATCAGCCTGTCTGCTGCTGTCACGTTAGCAAATGAGGGTGTGTTTATTCATTAGTGGTGAGTTTTCACAGGATCTAAGCTGTAGACTCCAGTCCATTTTGGTGTAGTGGTTAAGTGCGCGGACTCTAATCTGGGAGATCCGGGTTTGGTTCCCCACTCTTCCACTTGCACCTGCTGGATGACCTTGGGCAAGCCATAGTTCTGGCACAGCTGTTCTTGAAAAAGAGCAGTTTCTGTCAGAGCTCTCTCAGCCCCACCTATCTCACAGGGTGTCTGCTGTGGGGAGGGGAAGGGAAAGGAGTTCGTAAGCCACTCTGAGACTCCTTTGGGTAATGGATTCTTCCATTTAACATTCATAATGTATGAAAGGTCTTGTTTATGCTACCCCAGCACTTCTGTTGCTGTTTTCCTTTTTTTCCTCACCATTAAGTTGCAGCCACCTTATGGTGACCCCCACTTTGCAGAGTACAGGACCCCGTAGGGTTTTCAAGGCTAGAGATATTCAGAGGTAATTTGCCATGGCCTGTCTCTGTGTTGCAACCCTGGTGTTCCTTGGAGGTCTCCCATCCAAATACTGACCAGGGCCGACTTTGTGTAAGTCCTGAAATATAATGTGATTGGGCTAGCCTGGGCCATCCAAGTCAGGGCTTATGTATCTTGCATTGCCTAAAATGATGTTCAGATGATCAAACCAGGACTTTTTCTGAAACTTTCCGGCCTGAAAGCTAGAGAAGGACCACATGGGAGTGCCACTTCTGCAAACATTATTCAAAGAACAATTGAAGCTTTTTAAGTTTAATAATGAATGTCAAAAGTTACCCTGAAACTTAGCTTTAAATAAATGAGAATTGGGGGTTTGGTGCAGAATATATTTATTAATGCTTAGTATTTACTATGGTCAAAGCAAGCATTCACAGTAGTAATGTATGGCTGCGAGAGTGCTGAAGAATAGATTCTTTTGAATTATGGTGCTGGAGAAGACTTTTGAGAGTCCCTTGGACTGGAAGGAGATCAAATCAGTCCATCCTAAAAGAAACCAACCCTGACTTTTCCCTGAAAGGCCAAATACTGACGCTAAAGCTCAAATACTTTGGCCACCAAATGAGAAAGGAGCAGTCACTGGAGAAGACCCTGATGCTGGGAAAGATTGAAGGTCAAAGAAGACGGGGACGACAAAGGATGAGATGGTTAGACAGTGTTATCAATGCAATGAACATGAAATTAAGCAAACTCCGGAGCATGGCGGAAGACAGGAGGGCCTGGCGTGATGTGGTCCATGGGGTTGTGAAGAGTCGGACTCAACTGTGTGACTGAACAACAAGAGCAACAAAAATTTACTACTTTGCACCAATCTGTATGCTGCTTTTCCATTATTAAAAGTACTTTTAAGGTTTAATTAAAATTTATACCTCTTGTTTGAAATGATAAAGTAACAAAACAACATGGAGAAATTTGCCTAGATTTATGGTTTTAGTTAAAGAAGTTTAGTTAGAGAAATGGATTTCATGTTAGACAATGCTCATAATTTATAAATGACTGGAGAATTTCCCATGAATATGGTTGTAAAAGCATAGTAATGTTTCATGTAGCCTTTTTATTCTCATTTGTTCTACCCTTTTCTAATTATCAAGTATCTTCTTGTTTAGGTTGGGATTACGGATATCAGAGATCAACAGAAAATCTTAGATGCTGTTAAAGAATTGCACGTAGAAGAAGTGAAATTGGACGAATTGCCTCAAGTGACAAACGTAGAATTTAGGTAAGATGACAGTTGAAAAAATAGGAACAAACATAAAGACCAGCTTGTCACTCCTGAAGGAAAAAAGACTAAAATGGTTGTTTCAGTGTGCGGTCGATAAGCCTCAATTATTATTCAGCACACTGTGTAACTGAAACTGTTATTGAATAATGAGTTTTCAGCATGGAACTAGGTAATCACGGGGAGGGGGGACTTTAAAACATAATGTATTAATGACTGCATGAATGCTTAGGAATATATATCAGGAAATCACAGGGGCTTGGAGTAAAAGATTCTGGTTACTAAACAGAAGGAACACAGGAGGGGGGATTCCCCCCCCATTGTCCCACATAGATAAAAGTGTAGTCTCCAGATCCAAGCCATTATAACTTCCCACCATATGTATCACGAGCAGAAGGCCTTTCATGTATCCACCTGTGCCACTCTTTTACATGTGTTTTACGTGTGTGTTACTGTACATGGGAATCAGAAGAATCAAACCTAACCTGTGGGCAATACTGGGATTGTAGAAGCAAGTAGGGGGTGCCTCCACAGCATGGCTGACATATAGGTTGGGGTCAGCCACAAAATTTTGGGAGATTCAGCTGTTTTTGATGGATGCTCCTTGCAAGGCCGAAGGTAATGCCTCCTGGGCTCTTCTGAAGCACCTCCTTCTCCAGTAGGGTTGCCAGGTGAGGCCACCAAGTGAGGGGGGGCTTATTAGGAGGCTCCAAGAGAGGAGAGGGAAGAAGTGTGATTGAACTGCGAAGCAAGTTCTGGGTTAGCTGGCTCTCATGTTTAAAGGGACCACATCCCTTTCAAATGCTGTCTCTCCATTGGAAATTATGGAGGATGGGGGCACCTTCTTTTGGGGCTTATAGAATTGAACCCCCTGGTCCAATCTTTTTGAAGCTTGGGGGGGGGTTGCAAAGAGGTACCAGCAGCTTTGCTGAAAATTCAATGCCTCTACCTCAAAAAACAGCCCCCCAAGCCCCAGATACCAACAGATCAGTTCTCCATTTTGCCCTATGGGGACCGGTCTCCATAGGGTATAATGGAGTCTCCCCCATTTTCTGATAGCCCTGAAGCGGGGGAGAGGGGCTCCAAACAAGGGGATACCCTGTTCCCAACTGGGGGTGGCAACCCTATTCTCCAGTGAGGGCGTGGAAGGTCAGGATTGGCTCTTTTCTTTGAGGAAAGGATCCTTTGGAGAAGGAGGAAGTTGCGGGTATCATGGCATGGATAGACACCACATGGGATCACTTTTCTACATAATTAGAAAAAAAGAAATAAGTACCTATAGCAAACACTTTAGTGCCAGCATCATCTATTGCTTTCCCTTCTCATGAGGAACTGTGTAAAACCTTGCTACTGTCAATATATTCCAGTGGCCTTAGTTGAGAAGTCACACTTTTCTTCCATGTGACCATGAAGCAAAGGATGCCATGGGCAGTATTTCATAAGACTGACACAGCCTGTTTACTGGGGTGGGGTGGAGGACAGAAGGTGGGTACCTGTTAGGGAAGTACAAGTGCAAAGCCTCACTGGGCCTGCAGGACAACCATACACTTCTCTGGACCTCTTTCTGTTGACTAGAGCATAAAATTAATTCTGCAGTCATTGATGATCTTAACATCCTGCTCTTCGTCGTGGTCTCTGTGCAGTCCCACACATGGTTGGGCACCTGCGCATGACCTCAACCAGAGAAACTTCTAGAGCTTTGCCTCAGAAAGCTTTTGGCGGGCTCTCTTCCCGCCCTAGGGAGCAGGCACATACTGCGCATGCCTGGAGCGGGGGAGAGAGCCGCCTCCCACTCAGTTTTTCTTCGACTGCCTGTGTGTTCGCACCTCATTTCTGTCGCTCCGTACTTGCCTCAGCTAAGTATACATTTCTGTTCTCTCTATTTCGTTGGCTGCCGTCTTCATTTCTGTTCCTTTCTTGTTACTATTTAATAAATAAATAAATAAATAAATAAATGGTTTCTTTTTTTCTCCTTCTCTTCCCCCCCCCTTTATTCTATAGTGGGTGGGGTGGAGAACGTGTGGGCAAAACAAAGTTATTTAAACTGTGCCGTTATTGCCCAGCTAAACTTTCCTCAAACGACGGTCACAATTTGTGTCTTTTTTTTCCTCGGGGATTCCCGTAGAGTCGATAGCTGTGTCCATTGTGCTAGTTTTACTAGACAAGCTCGATGTAATAGGGAGACTCGCCTTAGGGCTGTGCTTTTAGAGGCAGCCTTACGCCCTGCCATGGCTTCGACTGTCTCTCAAAAATCAGACGGCTCTTCGAAGGCACCAAAGGTGAAATCTAAACGGCCTGAGGGTATGGCTTCCTCGAAATCGAAAGTCAAGCCCTCGACATCGGCTTCGACTTTGGCTGTCGACCCAGTCGTCATTACTGGCTTAACGACATCGACTCCTGCTGTGGCTGTTGTACCTAACAAGTCCACCTTGCGGCCTCCGACACCGCCACCTATGCTCTCTTCAGCCTCTGGCCTTATTCCGCTGGGTCAATCTACGAGATCCCCTCCTGACTTGTCTTGTCACCGGGACTCTTGATCTCAGTTGCCACACTCCCGTACCCTGATCCACCATTTGGAGGGCAGGGAGCATTCTGTTGGCCGCCGATCTCGATATGATCGAAAGCGTCTTATTCGTCGCCAGTCGCCTTCTCCCTTGGTATCACCTTCTGATGACCAATATTGGTCTCCTGATGAACGGGATCAGCCGGATTACTATCCGTATTATTATCCAAGGTCTCCTACTCCTCGCCGACACTGATATGATCGGCTTCGTCACTTCGAACGTCATGAGCATCCACGCACTTTGGATCGCACCAGACGATTTCAGCCCATGACTTCGGCCCGCTCTGGTGGCCCCTGACCAGCCTCCTGAGCTCTCGAGACCTAGGGATGCCCCTAAGTGTTCTCCCTCAGAACCTGGGCTTCATCCCCCTATTGATGATTCGATACCGGCTGATCTTACTCAACAGCGGAGAGCCTCCTCTCCCATGTCGATTTCTGACAACTCGGATTCGGCAGACCTCGAACTTGATGTTCCGCACATCGACTATGAGCTTTGGCCCTCGGGGTCTATTTCACCTACTAAAGGCCCGAAAGTGTATCTGGAGCTTGTAACCAGGTTGGCCTCCGCGCTTCAGGTCCAGGGTTCCACTGAATCCCCAGCTGTGACCGATGTTGTTCACAAGCTTGTTCAGGCTGACCTCCCACCTTCTACGGTCCTGCTTCTATTGCCGGTCCACCTTTCTGCCCTCAAGGAGACATGGGTTCATCCTGCTTCCATTCCCCCAGTCGCCAGACGATACGAAGCTCTCTATAAGGTCCAAGAGAGCTTGGGGAAGTTTCTCTTCAGGCAGCCTCCGCCGAATTCCATGGTCATACAGTCTTCCTCGAAATAGAAGCAATCTGCCCGCCACTCTGCGCCTCCTGATCGCAAGGGCCGCAAAATTGATGTTATCGCGAAGAAGCTGTATTCCTTTGCCTCTATGAATCTTCGTATTGACACTTACCTGTCATATCTGTTGGCCTATGCGTTTAATGTGGCTAATGCAGTCCGTCCCGTCTTACAGTTTGTTCCGGAGGAACACCGTCCAACGTTGTCAGGAGCTTTATCAGAAATTTGCATGATCTTGAAACAGCAAATTAATTCAGTCCGCCATGCTGTCACTTGCTCCTCTAAAGTTCTTGTCTCCTCCGTCGGTCTCCGTCGTCATGCTTGGCTAAGAAGTACCTCTTTACAGCCGACGTGAAATTATGGATTGAGGCTCTCCCCTTCAATGGCGAAGGTCTCTTCTACTCTACCACTGACGAAGCCTTAAAGGCTGTCGATAGTCGGAAGCAGGCTCGGAACCTGGGTGTCTCGGCATCGACACCTGTACCGTTCCTGGATACAATATTATGCCAGATGCCAGCCATCTCCTGCGCCCACCTCCCATTGGAGAAAGAGGCCCTATGACTCCCATTATCCCAATAGGGTGCGCCAACAGGCCCCTAAAAAATCCCAGCAGCCCAAGCAGTCCGTTTGACCGCTTCGATCGCCTGCCATCTCCTTCATCTTACACCCCTCCTGTCCTGACCCGACTCTTCCCCTTTCTATGAAAGTGGGAAGAAATTTCAACCGATATCTGGGTCCTTACCATCTTACGGGTTTGGTACGTAATAGAGTTTGTTTCACCTCCCTACCTACCTCATTATGTCACCCCCCCCCCGGATCCTCTCCTCGCAACAAACCCTAGGATTTTATTCAAAATATTTCCTCGTACCGAAGAGGGATGGCGGCTTCAGGGCCATTATGGATCTCCGGGATCTCAATCGATACATTCAATGCCACAAGTTCCGAATAGTCACCCTACAATCTATCCTCCCACTGATTCCCCGGGCGGCAGGGCTCGCCTCTGTCGATATCCGGGACACCTATTTTCATATCACTATCAGTCCACAGCATCGAAAGTTCCTGCGTTTCGCTGTCGGCAACGCACACTATCAATATTGGGTCCTTCCGTTTGGACTCTGCACTGCCCCGAGGGTTTTTACCAAGCTGATGGCTGTGGTGGCTGCAGACCTCCATCGTCGGGGGATTGCCCTGTATCCCTATATCGACGATTGGCTTCTTGTTGCCTCCACCCAACACCAGCTCCTCCAAGATGTCCAATCAACCCTGTCTCTCCTTCATGCCCTCAGGCTTTGTGTCAACCTAACCAAGTCAGATGTCCAGGTCCTTCAATTTCTGGGTGCCTGTCTCGATACCAACCTCGAGACTGCGTTTCTCCCAAACTTGAGGGCCTCCGACATACTTACTTTGGTCTCCCAGTTCCAGACCTCTCCCCGCCAGTCTGCTTGGTCCGTTATGAGGCTCCTGGGGCATTTTGCATCTACTGTCTTTGTCGTCCGTCATGCCAGGTTGAGGATGCGTCCCCTCCAACTGTGGCTTCTCCGTGCCTTCGACCCTCTCCGCAGTCCGTGGCACAAAATCCTGTCAATCCCACCCCCTGTCGTCGACTCTCTCGCTTGGTGGTCTCCTTCTCAGCACCTGCTCTCCGGCATGACCTTTCGGCATCCTCCTCCGCGAGTGTCAATCTCCACTGACGCATCCCTCTGGGGCTGGGGAGCCCAGTGTGGAATCTTTTCGGCACAAGGGACTTGGTCTCCTCACGAAGCTGCCCTTCACATCAATATCCTGGAGCTGCGTGCTGTTCAACTAGGTCTCCGCTTGTTTCTCCCTGTCCTTTGAGGCCAGGTCGTTCGGGTTGCCTCCGACAACACCACCACCGTTTACTACATAAACAAACAGGGCGGGACAGCCTCCCTTCGTCTTTGCCAGGCAGCTATCAATCTCTGGCAATGGTGCATCCACCACTCCATCACGCTCTCTGCGATCCGCATGCCGGGCGCTCAAAACATAGATGCCGATTGGTTGAGTCGCTCTCAGTTTTCGGACAACGAATAGTCCATCCACCTTCGATACCTGAAACCTGTTTTCCTCGAGTTCGGTTGCCCTGTCGTAGACAGCTTTGCAACTGCACACAATGCCCAGTGTTGCCTCTTTTTCAGCCACAGTTCACTATCCGCTCGGTCCCTGGGAGATGCCTTTCTTCACACCTGGACAGGAACCCTGTTTTATTTCTTCTCTTCATTCCCCTTGATCGCTCAGGTCATTCAAAAGATTATGGCCGATGCGACATCCTGCATCCTAGTCACCCCATGGTGGCTGCGCCAAGTCTGGTTTCCTCACCTCCTTTGGCTGTCCAACCAGACATTCCATCCTTTCCCTGTTGTCCCAGATCTCCTCTCTTGGGCTCGAGGAAAGGTCCTCCACCCCGATCCTGGTTTCTTCCGATTAACAGCCTTGAAGATCGTGCATGAGACTTCCCGCCTGAAGTGTCTTAATGCCAGGAAGCCATCTACCCGTGCCACTTACGCTCTGAAGTGGAAGAGGTTCCAGTCGTATGCCTCTGATCAGTCCTTTGATCCTCTCCAGTCGTCTCTCCGTCAGATTTTTTCCTATCTCGTCTTGTTAAAGAATACTGGCCTGGCATACTCGTCTTTAAAGGTCCATTTAGCGGCCATCTTGGCCTACCATCCCTTGATACAGGGATCCACCTTACCAAGTCGTTCCTCAAAGGTCTCCTCCACCTCTGTCCCCCTAGGAAGCCTTTGGTGCCTTTGTGGAGTCTCTCTCTCATTCTCACTCAACTGATGTCTAAGCTGTTGGAGCCCATGGCCAGGGCCGAGTTCAGGTTACTCTCCTGGAAAACTGCCTTCCTTATAGCGATTACTACTGTGTGCAGAGTAGGGGAACTAGCTACCTTTCGGGCTGATCTCCCCTATACAATTTTCCATAAGGAGAAGGTTGTCCTTAGACCAGATCCTTCTTTCCTGCCTAAAGTCGTTTCTGCTTTTCACCTGTCCCAGTTGTCTGTCTTACCTTCATTCTTTCCAAATCCGACTGATGCACCTCAGAGAGCCCTCCACTGCCTCGATGTGTGCAGAGTGCTGTGTTTTTATTTACATATGACTCAGCCTATACATAAATCTCCCCAGCCGTTCCTTGCTTATGGCCCCCTTCATGTGGGGGAGCCAATTTCTTCTCAACGCTTGTCTAAGTGGGTGACTTCCACCATAGCCCTTTGCTATGAGCTTGCACGTCAACCCGTTCCTACCTCTGTCACTGCCCATTTTACACGGGCGGTATCGACATCCACCGCTATCCTGGCTGGTGTCCCGTTGGAGGACGTCTGTGCAGCTGCTACGTGGTCCTCGGCATCGACCTTCGTGACCCACTACGCACTCGACGTCCGAACTCAACGGGATGCTGCATTCGGCCAGTTGGTGCTGCGATCTCTATTTGCTTGACCCTGCTACGTCTCCAGGTAGGACCCATGGGTGTTTCTTCCCGCTGATGATGCTGTGTCTTAACCAGTATTCTTTGTGTCTCTTGCAGCTGCCAGCTCCCTCCTCCAACTGGTTCAGCTCTTGTAATCAGCCATGTGTGGGACTGCACAGAGACCACGACAAAGATAAACAGGTTGCTTACCTGTAACTGATGATCTTCGAGTGGTCATCTGTGCAGTACCACAATCCCACCCAGCCTTCCCCACTGCTGGCATCTCCTATTCACCTTTCTTTGGCTTGATGGGACTTACCGGTAGCGGTTGAAGGAACTGAGTGAGAGGCGGCTCTCCCCCCCGCTCCAGGCATGCGCAGTACGTGCCTGCTCCCCAGGGCGGGAAGAGAGTCCGCCAAAAGCTTTCTGAGGCAAAGCTCTAGAAGTTTCTCCGGTCGAGGTCGTGTGCAGGCGCCCAACCCATTTGTGGTACTGCACAGATGACCACTCGAAGATCATCAGTTACAGGTAAGCAACCTGTTTTTTTTCACACCTGGTGTTTTGTGTTTTGAAACCGTAGTTATGCTAAGTTAATGAGTGTATAACTGTTGTCTCATTTTATTTTTTCCAGTGGTGATGAGTTTCTTACTTTTCTCATGAAACTCAACAGACAGTGCATTCATCTTACAAGTGCTGTACAGAGTGTGGTGAACCAGTATCCCACGGACTTTCACAAGGTATTCAGACAAGTAGAAAGATTATGATACTTGTAAATACACGAACATATATCACCTGTTTCTTAATACCAAACTTGGATGTCCCCATGTGTAATTCAGTTGGGTATAATGCCATTTTAAAAGGTTAAATCTTACATTTTAAGGCAGTCCGATTCAAATCAGAAGCAGGTCTCTCTTTCTTTGTCTTCATATTTTAACCTTGTTCAAGTAATCCAAATTATTTGTTGTTGGTGTCTTGTCATTACAATAGAATCAACATTAAAAAACTGACTTCGACAGAATTTGCTCTATGTTGGCTTGCTTTCAGAAGAGCAACTTGAATATTACTTGTCGTGAACATTATAACATGATGTACATTTAAAAAAAACCCTCATCAACCATGTGTATTCTAGCATGTTGAAAAATGATATGCACAGATTATAATGGGCTAGATTCCAATACTTGCTTATTCTCAGTGAATATTTTTTCCTCTGGAACGAGTCTTCCATGGAGAAAGAGTCCTCAATTAGTGATAGGCTGGATCCAGTCCACAGAGCTTAACAGGATCAAAAACTTATTTTAGAATGACACTAGAATTAAACACCACAAGGGGTGGACCAGCGATACTCGCGGG